AGTGAAGTTAACAAATATGTGGGTATATCTTCTAACGATTGAAGTCTCGATGAACTAATTTGTTAACCCATAACTTTACCCATAATATTGGATTTTTAATGGTAAGCGTCTATGTGAACTTTCTTCTGCATTAATAAAATGTAAAAGTAATACCCACTGCTTGTTTCATTGTAATGTGTTTCCTGTTTCATTCAATGAACTATTAAAAATTTTCTGAAACAATACTAATGCTAGTATTTTTCACAAAACGTGTATTTCTGAAGCCCCGTAACTCTTGATCCCATTGAGATCCCATGATAAAATTTTGCTATATGTATTAGGACATTACAGAGAAAATTTTGCTATATGTATAAACTACATTTGAGAATTTTTTGAATTTTTTAAAATTGCCTCTAAAAAATTTAAATTTTAAAATTATATTTTAAAATTTTAATAAAAAAAAAATTGTAGCCCTATCTTGTGGCATATCATATTGAAGCCCCATTCAACAGCTTTAAAATGAGACCACTCCCAGGTTTATATCATCGTTGGTTGCCAGCCTGTAGGCATCCAAAGGTGCCAAAACACGAAATTTTTCCATAAAATTTTAATTTTTAAAAATTAATAACTTCAATAAAATAATTGTGCTACATAATTGAAATTTGGTATTTTTTCATAAGTCTATGATATAGCATTAAAAAAGTCATGAAAATCTGAGACATCAAGTCTCAATCAGTGTGTTGATTTGACATGAGATGAACCCCATCGCAGAACCCACATAGGTGCGAAAATATGGTCAGTCGATCATAATCAGAATAGGTACTTCACCTTAGTAACAATGTATTCTTTTACTCTTTATCAACAACCTTAGTAACCACAGAAAGTCTGCCGTGACATATGAATGAGAAAAGATGCAAAGTAATATGGACACACGCGCGCAGCCATAAAGTTTTATTTAGCTTGCGTACGCGATTTGTCTAATTAATAATAATAATGTAGACTATTAAACGTCGCGTCGGCAAGCAGTCAACATCAAAGGAGTGCAACTTCTGTACGTAGTGCTATTATTTATTTGGTGTCGAAAGTCATAAAAAATCAATGTACGAAAATTTTCTCGCGTTTAAATTCATGCTGACGTAACAGATAATTTTCAATTTACCTTCAAATTGTCAACAAAAAGACAAATTAATAAAATACTTACACAATAATATTGGCAAAGAGTTCCATTTTCGAAATTTAAACTTATTTTTTATTATATCGTTTTACAAGTGGCCAGTTGTAAATTTTTTTAGTGACGCCCTCGTAGCGTCGTGGTAGCTCTAGCTTAAGATTTCATAGTACACGAGCAAAGTTTGGTTCCCGCCTGCAGCTTTGACATTACAGTGAGATATTGTATATGCAGGGCCCAAAAGCTCTGTGGCCCAGCATAATGAGGAAAGGACTGCGGGGAAAACATATATATATATATATATTATTTACTTATTGCTGGGCAGTGGGACATACGTTTACTGTTTTTTCATTATACTTTCTAAAAGCTTAATAAGTTATGGTTGCCTAGTCGAAGAGTCAGTCTGTTGCTTAATGACTAAGCTCCGCAGGGCTGCGAGTTCGAATCCCGCACTTAGCAAGTGTTTGTATGGTCAACGCATTATTGTTCCGGGCTTAGGTGTTTGTCCAAGTGTGATTTATGTCTGCAAACTCATCCAAGGTATCCTAGAAAATCCTCCTGTGGGTGTTAAGCTACTAGATAGCAGTACTACTTAAACAAAAAAAAAATTATAAGCCTAAACGGCCAAAACCGGAAAATTGAACTGTGATAAGCAGGATTATATTAGTGTTTCTTGCTATTTAGCAAGTGTTATCACAACAAGCTTTTTTTTAGTTCAAGGTTTTTTTTGCTATATTTCAAAATTGTCGTCATTACATCCTTCCGTCAGACATTCCCTAAGTAATGCCACAAAAGCACGTTCCTGAGCCATCTGCATCTATTGACTTACCGCATGTCTCACTAGGATAACCGTGTACTAGACAATCCACTACCTCCATGACCTCCTGTGGGTGCGGTAAGAGGCGACAGAGGGAATCTAAAGCAGGGGATTCGCAGCGGCATCTTCCTTTTTTATAAAATGAGGGTGACAAACGAGCACACAGTCCACCTGATAGTAAGTGGATGTTGTGGCCTATAGACATCTACATTTATCTTCAATTAAAAGTCAAAATGCAGATGCGTTTGCCAGCCCTGAGGACTGAGACGGAATGCCTCGTTTCCAGTAAAAAGAGTCTCCGGATCTCTACACTCAACATACGAAATACAGCAGCATTAAGATACTGTTTTACGCTGGTATTCTGTGAGAGCGTAATATGACAACTACGACCAATGTCTGCCTTTTGACAGTCTAGGGCAGGAGTCGGCATCCTTTTTAATCGGAAGAGCCAAAAATTACAATTAACAAAATTTCAAGGTTTTTAAAGAGCCACAATTTTTTTCTTGCCAACCATAAGTAGTACTTGCATAAATAAAGATTTTTGATAAAAAAATTATCTGTTTATTCATAAGAAAAATATATTTTTATTCATCATTCAAAGGCAGTTTTTCTTTCACAACAAATTAGAATCTAATTTCTATTACTATTATGTATTTATTCGATTATATATATATATATATAATATAAATCTTATTATTAAAATAAAAAATTAAAATAATGCAACATTTACATATATTTACATTGCAATATAAAGTCTTACAACACCAACTTGTACTTCAATAACAAACAATTGAGCAAACAAATTCAATGTAAGCTTTGGCTTTGCATAGTTATTCAAGAAGAATATTTAAACTTTATTCAATAATGTAACTTGTACTTAAAAATAAAAAAAGCAATAACATACATTTGAGCAAACAAACTTAATTGAGAGCGTTGGCTTTGTATGGTTTTAAAAAGTTTTGATAAATTTGGCTCATAACTTGTAGTTTTAAGTTTCAAACACGACTCGAAATTATCATTTTTACCTTACTTTTAGTTATATTCATGCAAGAGAACGCTTGCTCGCACGAATATTTCGATCCAAAGATAGACAGCTTTCCAAATGCCAACTTCTTCCCTTCACTGTAGCAATCTTGAAGACTACTCCGTGCATCGAATATAAGTGACTCAACTCGCGGCATTTCTTTTAAAATTGTCCATTTTGTTGCTTTACATACATACATTTCTGGACCTCCAACTCTTCCAACTTGCTTTTCAACTCTGTAAATTTTGCACTCCATAAAGCTTTATTTTTTAAATCGATCAATTGCATTTCTAGAAATCCAGTATCAACTTCAAATGGCCTACTGTGGATTTCGTGTGTGTGGGTGCGGTGAAAAGCGAGTACAAGTGGCTCGAAGATAAAAATGGTGCCTAATACTCGTTAATCGATTCAGAACGATTTTTAAATGTTTTTTTTTTATAAAATAATATTTGCATATGGAACTAAAGAGCCTCAGCTTCACAACCAAAGAGCCGCATGTGGCTCACAAGCCGCAGGTTGCCGACCCCTGGTCTAGGGGAAGGCCTGTGTTCAGCCTTGGACTGTGCATAGGCCGTAATGAATGAAGTAATAAATTAATGAAGAGTTGTTTACACACATTTATGAAAAGTACCCATTTAAAAACACCGAATATTCGGCCGAAAGTTCGGTAAAACTTTTACCGAACCGAATATTCGGCCGAACATTATTCGGCAGGATAACATCAGTACCTAAACAATTTATGTCGAAACTTGTTGCAGTAAAGCGCGCGGGATTAGCGCCGGACCCTGCGCCTCGCTCCCCCGCCACACCTGACATGTTATTGCATATCTCTTACTGAGCAAATTGCTGGCACATGCTTAAATGACCATTTTAGTGAGAAAAAAGTATTTCGTTTTGATGTTCTTAATGAAAATTGATAATTATATGACAGATATGAGTGGCAGATCTACTATTTGGACTTATTTTAGAGAAACTGACGACCAAAGTAAAGTGAAATGTAAAGTGAATGTAATGTAATATTTTTTTGTTTGATTCCAAAAATATTTTATCAAGCTTTCTATTTGGTATAATTGGAAATAAATCTACAGTGCCTCAAAAACATAATGCTATACAAATAGATTTAACCCATAAGATGAAATATACATTCAACGGTAAAATTATGACTTTACCACTCAAACGAATGTTCGGTAATTTACCCGAATATTCTGTTAAAATGCCGAATATGCTGAATACCGAATATGAAACGAATAGTCGGCCTATCTTATATATATATATTTTTTATACATTTTATCGCGTTTACTTCCTATTTCTTGGTATATTCGTGATAAATACTATCGAACGTAAAAGTTTGGCGAGTTAAGTAACGCCTGTACCATAAATTCATCAATAAATTAAATTTATAACCGTAAATACGATAAAATGTGTAAACTCTCTAGTTTCATACAATGTGTACCTCCTACTGTTCGCATAAAATACAAATAATCCATGTCGAAGGTTTTCTGGTAAAATCAGTTATCTGTAAATTTTGCCAAATTGATAAAACATTTTGAAAATCCATAACTCATTAGACACATCAACATTTAATGACTCAACACATTCACATCGTGTAACATTGATAACAGCGTTTAATGATAACTTGATTATTAAGGTGGAGCTATTTGAAATATGTTCTTATTTCTTTATCCTTTAATTATAACGCCCGACACCAATGTTATGTTCCAAGTTAAAAATTAGTCATATTTGTAAATATGAGTGATCTTTTTATATTACTGTTTGTTGACCTAGTTTTATTTTAAAATAAAATTTGGTAATAAAATAATTATGCAACTAATTGCAGAATTATTTTCTTGATTGTTAATACGTTCCTATGTATATGATTATACATTAGTATGTGGTTTTAAATTGTACAGTATTTAATAGATTATAATTTAGTTTTTTTTTTGTTACAGGTGACGCGCTGCGGAGCGGTGGTTAAAGCGGCTCTGCCGCTTTAAATGGACAAACGCAAGATGATGCCAAAGAGAGCGCGTATGGATAGCATGCGGGGTCCCATCGCTAACGGACCCCTGCAATCTAGGTGAGTTTGTTTTATTTAAATTGTATTGTATTTACCGATTAGAATCCAAACACGAAAATCGGCTGGAGTGTGTTCAGGAAACTTATTTTATAGAATAGGAAGACAAACGAGCAACTTTGATGGTAAGTGGATGCTGTGGCCCATGAACATATACATTTATCCTCGCTTAAGAATCAAAATTTAGATGCGTTGTCACCCGTGAGAACTAAGATGGAATGCCTCGTTTCCAGTAAAAGGGGTTTCCGGTTCTCTACACTAACCATAGGAAACACAGCAGTATTGAGCTGCTATTTTACACTGGTATTCTGTGAGAACGTGGTCCTACCATGGTTGGGCCGACCCATTCGTGCTAAAACTATAATACAGTTGTAGTTTAGCTCTACCACACAAACAGCGACAAATCTTCTCATCCGATATTCTTCAGAGCCTTAAGACGAAAGTGTGAAAACCATTGCGTATCGACGACCTGATGAAACACGCAGGTAGTCGATGGATGTTGGATGCTGTTGTTTTTGGATGGTTTAGGACCCTTCGTTGCGGGGTATACCGGGGAGCACATGTGAGCACGTGTTGATAGTGTGTTTGTAAAGATTTTATATTTAACTTTTATTCTGTTCACGAGGTAGAGCTAATCTGCAGTATAGTATAGCTGCACCATGAATGGTTCGGCTTGACCGGTGAAGGACCACTTTCACTCACTCACGTGACTACTAGCGATATTAGCGGTATTCGTGCTGCAACCATAGTATAGCTGTGACGTAGCTCTACCACAGTCTTCGTCACCATCTTCTGTCTGCCATTTTCCCCCTGTTACCGAAGTTCGTCACTCCATTGCTACAAATGAAAGCTTTGGTGAGGTAACCATAATCCTCAAAGGAGTTTTGAGAATTAAAAGTTGTTTAGACTCAAACCTATGCTTAGCGAAGAATTCGTTAAAATTCTCCATTATTTATAATAAATACTGCACTTCATAATATTTTGCAGTAACAGAATCTATGCCTATCTTTTCGTCGTGGTTCTGATCATCCTTAATATAAAATACCGAATTAGCCAGTAAGAAAATCGTCTAAATACTATCCGTTAAGTATTTTTATTTTAACGAAGATTTAACAATACGATAGAAATAATTATGTAAGGAGTACTAGATAGAACACGGTAAATACATATAGTAATAATAATGTCCTCCAGACCGAATTTCGGCCACGGCGGCCTGCCTTAACAGAGGCTAGCCAACGGCGCAGGACAGGATTATAGTGCCCAAGTGTATGCGCAAGCACAGGTGCACTCTCTATTCCCTCACTCTCATAATCCGATGAGACGGTAAATCGACACGACCGGAGGGAGATCAGGCGTAGGACCAACGGCTTTACGTGCTTTCCGAGGCACGGGAGTGAAACACTGCCAACTTCCTGACTCCGGGCAGCTACTGAGAATTTCTTGACAGAAAGACTCAATAATTGATTTTTTTGCCCGACTCTGGATTTGAACCCAGGACCTTACGATCAGCAGTCGCACTACCACAACCGCTAGACTAACGAGGCAGTCAAATACACACACCACACACACACACACACGTATATATATAATACTTAAATTATATAGATTTTCCCGACTTCATCTGAAATAGCATCCTTAAACAATTTGGACATGTTTGTGTAACGTAACAGGGTGTTAGCGGTGCGGTACTATCGTGTAAAATATTCAGTATCGCTGTCCGCTGTACCTACACGCGGATTTTAGTGTCGAGATTTATGACCTCGTATTTTCATAAATATTAAGTTCGGTTCCTGCATTGCCGACCGATCGTAAATACTAGGCATTTTTGCTTTTAGCTATGTGTACCGTATATTTTTATTTTTTGTAAACGAATATGGGTAAAGCGGGTATATAGGTAAAACAAAACCCCGACTTCAGAAGCTATTATATAAAAATGAATTTTATTTATTTTTTAATTTTTGGAGTCCGTTCTACTTTTTATTAAAAGTTTAATTATTTTATCCTGATTGCTCTAAGAAATATCACAAGTTCCAGCTAATAAATAGAATGTCGTTTAAATTAATAAGTAGAATAGAATGTCGTTTAAATTGATACATTTAAAATTGTCATTTCCTATTTTCCTCACTTAGGAATGGAATTTAAAGTATTAGTAATAAAAAGAAAAGTTTGCATACGTATTATAACCACGTCTGAAGAGTATATATTTAAAAAAATTGACACTTAAATCAGTTCAGCCGCTTCCGAGAAATCAATGATCAGTTCATTGATTGACAAAAGTGACCCACCTTTTCTATATGGATGACCTTAATTTGTTCGTCTCCAGTCGCTGCCATCTTGTGGAATTGCTAAACATCACTTGTAATTTTAGCAATTCTATTAGAATGGAGTTTGGTACGGATAAGTGTGCGGTTCTCCATGTTGAAAAGGGAAGGGTTGCTAACTCTAAGGGCAAAGACTTATCTATGTCCGTCAACAAAGACCCTTTCCGAGACTGAAACATACCGATATGGGTATGATGTCACTGAAAATCAGTATCGATGAGGCTGGTATGAAACAGTCGGTTTTTGATGTGTTTTATGCATGCTTAACAGCCTTTTGTCTGGTGTGAATAAAACACACGCATGCCTGTCCTCATGTATACCTTTTGCATACTCAGGTGGTCTCAGACTGAACTTAACGCCCTGGATAGAAAAGTCCGCACTATCATGACATCCCATAGAGTGCATCCTCCGAGATCGTAGGTAATGAGGCTGTACTTGCCGCGAAAGCATAGTGAGCGTGGCTTTTTAAGCTCGCTCACCATGCATAATCGCAAAGTGTGCAGCCTCTGTAATTAGTTCCTGGCGAGAATGGATGACCCATTCTATAAGGACGTCATTTCTTGTGATAAAGGACATTCTGAGATTCTGATTCTGAATAACTTCGCAAAAAACATGTGCGTCGAATATAATATAACTTTGTTTTTTTGGAACTCAGTTAATGAAACGTCCAAGTGGTTAAAAATCTTTAATGTTTTGGAGTCGTTTGTTAATTGAGGCATATGACTGTTGGATGATCACACAGTCAACGCATAGTTATTTTTTTACTGAAAGCGTTAGTTTAAAACCGGCAGACATCATGATGAAATAACAAAAGTTCTGTGCCCAACCTATTCAACTTGTTAAGCCTTGACGCTAATCTTATTTGGTTTCTATCATAACTTAGGAACGGGAGTCGTCTTTTTCCTATCCCCTTCGTGGCCCTCAAAATCCGTTTTCTAATTCCCGGGAAAGTTTGCCGAAATTCTCGAAACTCCCTTCGCGCCACGCCGTATTACTTTCTCGTCTCTCAGCTAAAAGTTTCTTTGGCAACAATAACAATTTTGCTCCGCTATGACGAAAGTTATTAGTTTATTCGCACTTGCGTTGCTTTAATTATTTTAGTATGATGAAGAAAGGGCGGCGCTCTGTGTAGCGAATCTACAATTTCAAAACTTTGGTGTTACCAGACAATATTTGTTACTGGTTCATTCGTTTTCACTTCTTAATGGGGGTAATAGATACTTTAGTTACTAATTCATATAGGTTTTTATGCATATAAGCTCAAGTCACATCGTAATTTAAAAAAAAATGTTTTAAAAAACTTAGGTCTTTTTACATTGGACTTAATATTTAGCTTTTTTTAAGCACCTACAAATTTATTTGTGAAATGAGGTAAAATATTCGTAGGTTTTTAAGTACATACCTCACATTTTCCATATTTTTAATATTAGTTTTATTAAAGGGCTTTATTAGACTTTACCAAGTAATTCCCATAGTTTAAAATAATAACAACGTGCCATAATTTAATAAACTAAATAATCCTTAAAGGTTCATTAATTAACTAATTACAGCCTACCATATTCCACTGCTGCAGTACAGTAGTGGCTACTGCTTCATTTCCCTGAGTTGCTTCTTAAGACATCCACGGGATGATATTATGAGATAATAAATTCTCCTACGCCACCACTACACTGCGGAATGTATTAGATTAAGTTAGCTATAATGAACTAACATATAGCTAGTGGCTGTGTAGTGGCGGTTGAGAATATCCACTACCCCATATCTTCCTGTGGGTTTCGTACAGGCGACTGAGGAAAACTGGAACAGGTGATAGACAGCAGAATCTTCCTGATAACAACAATAATATAATAAAAAGCTGCGGTTGTTAACCCGCTCGCCAGCGTGGCAACTATGGCAAATATCCCCCCATGAGCAACGACGCAAACAAATTGCCCTCAGTCCCCGGCGGCCCCGCTATTCCTGGTTACGGTGGCGACCATGGTAACGGCAGGGCAGGGGGTGCTAAGAATCTCCGGTGGAGGTTCGGTTGCTACCTACGACGACTCGATCTGGCAACATATAATGCACGCACCCTGAGTACTGACGAGAATATACTGGAGCTGGAAGAAGAGTTAGACAAGTTGCGCTGGCATATTATTGAATTATCCGAGGTCCGAAGAGAGGGGGATGACACGGTTAATCCTCGAGTTCTATCACCGGTACGCTAATCCAAGGTCCCGAAAACTCACCTCGAATTACAAAACCGTTTTCAGTGCCTAGAAGACTCCAATACAGTGGACGATATGAATGACAAGCTCGTGGAAACTGTCCATGCGGTCGGAGCTAAGTTCTGCAAGATCTGCCGCAGCTAGATCGATTTTTTGCCTCCCGTAAACCCAGCTATAAGCGAACATTGATTAATTTTATTTAAAGGTTCAACTCAGTTCAGTATTAAATAATTTTATTTATCCGATCGCAAGTACCTTTTCACGTATCCAACCAGCAATGTAAGAATTTTGATGCTCTTCAACTTTCACTTCGGTGAATATTCAACCTTCAACAGTAGCTAACCAGTTTTAACATAACAACATCAATTAATGTGTATACTGCGTAACCGAAGTGGTTTCAGTCTGATTGTTCAACCTTAATCTCTATCCTTAAACGTAGTTTTAGATTTCATAGCATTTTAAAATATATCTGTTG